TTTTTTTTTTTAAATGGTGCAATTAAATAAAACATTATTACTGAAAAAAATCCAAATTTAGCCCCACAACACCACCCTGTTTATTTATTTATTCATATGCTCCTCGTTATCACTGACCAACACTTATTATTATTATTATTATTATTAACATCTGCACTACCACATGAAAAGCTATTAAAGAAAAAGCCCTGCATGTGACTACACAAAGCAATGCCCTTTTCAGATAATGGATCATTTATTGCATAAATTGCACAAAATGTGTTAAAAATTTACAATTACAGTGTGGACTTTGTGTTTGTTAAGATTCTATCATGTTTTGTATGCAGAGAAGCCTGTTAATCTGAGAATAGCTATAACTATCAGATATAGTCCAGTAAAGAGAGGTTTGTTTGTTCAGGTTTTCATCTGAAATGCATCCAAATGTATGACAGCTGTAATATTTGCAATCAGTTTGATTTGAACTTCGAAACAGGAATATTTCATTTTTGCCTCCACCGAAGAGGTTATGTTTTCAGTACAGTTTGCATGCATGCACGTCTCAAGTTTTAGTATGCTGCTTCTGATTATTACTTTCTGATCAAACTTCATGGGGATGTCGTGTAACCATCTGCTGAAATTTGGCTTATATCCTGCTCAGCTTGATTTATTGATCGAAAACTTACAAAAAGCCTTATAACTGTGACTCTGTGTGGTTTGGATTTTTAGTGTACAAAGTACCATTTAAAGATATAAAATAATGGCACATTTGACCTCTGACCTTTCCTTCAAGGTAAATTTGTGTGTGTGTGTGTGTGTGTGTGTGTGTGAGAGAGAGAGAGAGAGAAAACTACTTAATAAAAACTGTTTAAACCTGATAGTTGTTACTAAACATTTAAACGAATTCTACTACACAGTGATATTAAATAATACTCAAAATGATGTCAGATGTATTTAAAGAGCCTTTAACAAGCAACAAACTTCTGCACTTCTTTTTTTTTTATTGCACTAAAAACATGTTGAAGTACGTTTCAAAGCGACGTTGCTGTCTTGGAGGTTTGCTTCGTGTTTGCTGTCATCAGACATGGAGAAAAATGAAAATCGTTTCAGGATGAAACACGAATGTTTTCGTGCTGGTGGAGACCGGACAGACTC